CAATCCCAAGCGCAAGTACAGGCTTGGTGGAGAATCGATTGAGAGCAGCCCTGAGGAGGACAACTTGTGGGTGTTGGTTGATGAGAAGCTCAATGTGAGCTGGCAATGTGAGCTTGCAGCCCAGAAAGACAACTGTATTCTGAGCTGCATCCAAAGAAGCGTGGCCAGCAGGTCAAGGGAGGTGATTCTGCCCCTCTACTCTGCTCTTGTGAGTACATGGAGTACTGCATCCAGCTGTGGGGTCCCCAACACAAGAATGACATGGAGCTATTGGAGTGAGTCTAGAGGAGGGCCACGAAGATGATCTGAGGGCTGGAGCACCTCTCTTATGCAGACAGGCTGAGGGAATTGGAGTTGCCGAGCATGGAGAAGAAAAGGCTCTGGCGAGACCCTCTAACAGCCTTCCAGTACTTAAAGGGGGCCTACAGGAAAGCTGGAGAGGGCATGGAGAGATAGGGCAAGGGACAATGGCTTTAAACTGAAACAGGGGAGATTTCAGTTAGGAAGAAATTCTTCCCTCTGGGAGTCGTGAAACACTGGAATAGGTTGCCCAGAGAAGTTGTGGCTGCCCCATCCCTGGAAGTGTTCAGTGCAAAGTTGGATGAGGTTTTGAGCAACCTGGTGTAGTGGAAGATGTCCCTGCCCATGGCATGGGGGTAGGAACTAGATGATCTTTAAGGTCCCTTCCAACCCAAACCGTTCTATGATAAGGTAAATATAAAGTCATAAATCAGATGTTACAAGTTGCTCATTCATAACAGAGAATTTGGTGAAGTTTTATCCTGGGAATCACCAACTCACAGTAATGGTGAGTGAACTAGATGCTTTGGAAATCTGGGATCCCAAACCATGAGATCCTATGGAAACTATGGAGTTTGGAATGGTAAGCATTGTGTATCAGTGTCATGTATCATGTATCATAGATGCATACATCAGATTGGACTTCCATCCCTCTCGGGGCTTGAGCCAATTGGCGCCTCTGCAAATTGCCCTATTTACGTCAGGAGAAAGGAACCGGAAAGGTGTGCCTGTGCCCAGGAGCGAGGAGAGGGGAGGGAGGTGCTGCCCCTATTCCCTGGCGCTGGCCCGGGGCCACCCGCTGAGGATGGTGGCAGCGGAGCCGCTTGGGGAACTCGGGGAGCGCCCCGCTCCCGGGGTGCCCACCGGGCCTAGTTCACCCAGAGAGGACTGAGATCTGAGAGAAACGGCCACACCGACAACAGGTCAGTGAAGATGGAACGGGACGAGGTGTGCCCGACCTGAGTTTCCTCTGCAACTGGTGGCGAGACGGCAAGCAGCCCCCTTGCAGCCAAATGCTCGGAGGAGCAGAGATCCACTCGCAGCCCGTGGAAAACACACGTTGACAAGAGATGCCAGAGCCTGAGTATGGTACGCATCTAGAGTCCGTGGGACAACCCCCGTCGGTGGGTAGGTGTTTTATTTAAAGGAGATGCCTGAGCCTGAGGACAGTTATGAAGCATGGGCACAGGTAGAGACGAATTTAGAGTCTGTATGGAGACACATTTAAAGTCTATATGAAGACCCATGCCTGAGAGAGTGGCAACAACTCCCTAAGAATCCGAGACTGTGGTAAAGCCCACACCAGAGCAATCTGTTGGGGAAGGATTGCATCTTGTGGGTAGGACTCATGCTGGAGAAGTTTGTAGATTTTCCTTGTGAGTAGGGGATCCACTGGAGCAAGGGAAAATGGTATAAGGACTCCTTCTCCTTTAAGAGAGGAGCGACAGTAACAATGTGGAATGAACTGACCTGCACTTCCCCATTCCCTGCCCCCTGCGCTGCTGGGGGGAAGGTAGAGCCGTGAAGAAAAGGAAAGGGGGGTGGAGAGGTGTTGTTTTTAAGACCTGGCCTTGTTTTCTTTTTATCCTTTTAAGTAACTGGTTTTGCTTGTCTTTATTCTTTTAAGTAGCTGTTAATAAATTGTTTTGCTTTAAGAAAGCCGAGTCTGTTTTGCCCGGGACCATGGTTGGTGGGTGCTCCCTCTGTTCTTGTCTCAATCCTCAGTCCTTTTATTATATTTTTCTCCTCTCCACTTCACTGGAGTGAGAGACAGTCTGCGTGGAGTTTAGTTGGCGGATTGGCCTAAAACCACGACGCTATTTCAGGTGTATTTTAGAAACAGTAGAAGTTTGTAGTTTCCAATGTTTTTTTTAATCTGGATGATCATAATAGGAGAATATAGAACACAGCTTTTGACATTCAATATCATTTTGCTATCTGTAGCATACCAAATGCTTGCTTAAGGGATATGATGGAAATGCTCTCTTCTTAAGATGCTTAAAATAGATGAAGAGTGGAAGAGGTCAAGGGAGAAGCTGGAGAATGTTTTTTGGCTCCTGAAAAGGTCATTTTGAAATACATGGCAAAGCAATGCATGATGGAAGGAAATCATGGCAGATCCAGCATGTGGTGTACTAAATTAGTTTTCTTGGTCACTGACAGTCTGAACTGGAAGAATATGAAAGATACCTTTAGGATAAACAGCCATATTGTTAACTCTTTCAATAATATTAATACTTGAATTTGGGTTTTCTCCACTATTCTATCTTAGATTTTTTTTTTTTTTATTAGACTTTACCATGTTTTAAGACAGTGTATTTGTATTGGCAACCATTAAAGATCTTGAGTAATTTGAGATTTATCCATCATGAAGTATATGACTGTATATAAACTGGGGTGGATTTTTAAAAATCTTTCCATATGGAAGCAGATTTGGCCCTAGAGAATGTAAATTAAATACAGTAATTTAAGAATGAGTAAAATGAATTTTCCTAGAAAACTCGCTTTCAGAGAGCCAGTTTGTGCACTCTGTATATCTGTTCTGTTTTAGTTTTCAGCCAACTTTTGACCTTGCAAACTATCTCCTTCACCTCACTTTTGTTGCTCACATCTTCAATTTCTACACTTTTGTGCTTTCACACGAACCATCTCCTGTGTTATTTGTCGCCAAAATCGCAGTATAAATTTCTCAGCTAAAACAATCTGCAAGGTATAGAAATAACTATCTGCTACCCTCTTCCAGTAATGGAAGCACATACTCTCTTCATTTCTTTGCATAATATTAATTAAAACATAATCCATTTGCTAATAATCAGTGCCAGCGTGCTTTCATCTGCCATATTAATTACTATACTGTTACATTCCAAATCCTGTTAAGGGTGAAATGAAACACAGCTTATATTTAAAGCCAAGAATCTGTTCTTAGTATAATTGAAATCTTAACACTTCAACAAACAATTACTGTTAAACCAGATATGAGAACTTTTTTTCCCATTATTTTCTTTTTCTTTCTATTACAAGGGCAAAAAGTCTCAACAATAGCAACACAATTAAAATTGTTATGCACACACTTCCTAGTATCTTTCCCTTTCTCTGATGTCATGGTTACTCTTCCACTGTTTCTCTCTGGATCTTGAGATCATTCATTGGCTTCGGTTTGGCACGAGGGTTGCTATGGTGAGTTGTGAGTGTTCCAGGTTCTTTTACAGAACTACATTTTACATCAAAATTTACTGAGTAACCGAGGATTGTCTTATATACTTTGGATACTTTTTCTTTATTCTCTTTGTTATCCCTAAACATGGTTTTTGACCAGCTCCCATGTCTGTGTTTCTTTAATTCACCATTGGTGTATTATTTATAGGCTTGTAGTCTCCAGTGCAATCCTATGCCCCCTTTCTTATTATTCCATACTGGTACATTCCATCCAATGTTTCTACTTTTGTTGTCTCTGCTATTATCCCATGCGTGCACTACATCATTATGTTGGTCATAATTATTTCATCCTACGTAGAACAGAAAAAAAGAAACTGCGCTATACAAAGATAAGAAGAAGTAAATATAACCTAGGCATAGCCGCCTGGTCTCTGGAAAACTTGCTGTTTCAGCTAAAACAAGTTAAAAAATAGATGTGTGTATATATATCCAGGAAAGCCAAGACAAATTTGGATAAAGCCTGACAAGATTCAGTCCTAAGGCCTTCAAAGTTTGTTCAAATCATGTTGCTAGAGGTGACGATGCTGCAGTTACGGGGATACAGAGCTACACTAGCTCACATTTATTTCACAAATGTATTACTAAACATTCTTTAAAGAAAACCCTTTAAAGGGTTTTAATAAATTCTGATTTGTTTAACGATCAAGGTATGAATTTTTGCATTTGTGATCCATCTGCTTAAGTCACTATGACTATATGATGCTGGTGGGAATATTGATGCAAAGTAAAAATGAGCACATATGTAAAAACTGTTCTTAAATTATCTTGGCGTTTTTGTAAGGATTACCTGTACTGATAAGTCAGAAGACATATTTAGATAATCCAAGTTTCCTAATTCTGTTTTTCTCATCTGTTAATTAAAATATACTATATTTTCATCTTTAAGACAGTCATGATGACTCTTGCTATGACTATGATTGTCATTCAGATTCTGCAGTATGACTATAATAATCATGTAGATTATGCAGTAAGGATTAATGTCTGGTTTTGCAGTTTTTATACATTCCTAACCTAACTTCACACTTCTTTCCATAGGAAATTTCACTTTTTTTCCCAACTCAAACATTGTTATTTGTCATAACTAAAATGAATCACAGTCATATAGGACACACAGTGAGAATTTAATAAAGTGGGACAGACATTTTTTTAAAAATTGTTTTGTTTTTTTTTTTTCTTGATGGTTTTATATATCATTTCCTACACCTGGAAGCAAACAGTTAAGCTAAATATTTGTGTTAGATTATTCCAAGTATATATAAAGACAGGATTATTTCAGGTGAGATTTTGAAAATATCTGTCTTGAGCTAACTCATTTTCTAACAGAAATCATTAAGAATTTTATGAGAGCAACACATTGAAAATGCTATACTGTATCTGGTTAGGTATACAGTTGTGTATCCAAAACAAGCATCACTAGCAGAGTGGTTTTCTATTCGATTCTTCTGGGTAAACAAATGAGTGTATTGTTTTTCTGTTTTTCCTAGTGTGTTGTATTTGCTATGACATCTGGTCAGATGTGGAATCACATCCGTGGACCACCATATGCACATAAAAATCCTCAGAATGGACAAGTGGTGAGTTGATTCTTTTAATTTTATTTTGAGGAGAAATAGTATATAGATAGTCGCTCTCAAAAACAAATCCACAATCGCAAATAATTGCAGTTTCTTAGCACTGTATGACAGTGTGCTGGAGTCTTAAGTCTCCAGTTGCAAACAGAGTCTGTTTTGGAATTTCAGATGTTTAGAAAGTTCCACCATCTTTAATTTGAGCAATGAAATGAGTGGCCATGTTTTTCAAAATTCCCTCTATCAGACTCCTAGCTGTAGTGAATGTGTTACAAAATGTTCCATACCACAGAATTTCTGCTTTCCAAAGATAAATGGATATTGTGTCTTTTTGTAGAAACCTGCTTCTTCACAAGGTGAAAAGCAAGGTTTTGTGTTTTTTTTTCTTCTTTTCAGGCTCTGTTTACACAAACCTTTGAGATTTTTAACGTCTTATCTTACTCCTTGAGCATTTTGGTTAGAAAAGGAGATGGCAAATATTTTTGTGCTTTGTATTTTTCATATGCTTTTTTCCATTTTGCCTGTTGCTCTTCCACTGAACTTTATGGAACTTTATAGCTTTTTCCTGTATCTCTTTACTTCTTCAATTTTAATTCTTTATGAGCTTTACTAAGAAGTTACCACTAGTTTATTACTGCCAAAATTACTGTTATATCCTGCTACTGCTGTCTTTGAAGGAATTCTCTTACTTGCTCCTTCCTGCTCACAAATTAGCAAATGTTCATCAGAAAGTCTCTGCCTACACTGGGAAGGTACAGAGAACCTTAGCTAGTTTCTACCACTCTTAGTTATTAATCACATTTCAAGCAAGTTGTTGGAATGGAATCTATGAAACTTCCAGTGAGCTTAATGTTCAGGAAGCTTTTTTGTGACCAGTGGCCTGCCAAGCTGTTTCCAACTTTGACCATCACTGATAAAAGGAGACAGTCCTATGTCTTAAATAAAAAATTTATTTGAAGGTCCCTTTGTGTCATATCTTAATTGGAGTAGCAAAAAAATGATGGTTTGAATTTGATTACCGATTTGCTTTTTATCAGGAACGTAGCAGCATATTGATTCCATAAAATTACATGATTCCATCTGTCAACTTTGTTATGCAGAAGTAGAAATGATAATGTAATAAATAATCTCTGTAAAACACTGTTTATAAAAATTTAGTGTTTTTCATTACTGCCTTGCAGTATTAAATTTATGATGCTTTCCTACGGAGTGACAAAAAGGAGAAATACTGCGTAGAAAAAGCACTGTTTGTGACAAGTTAGTTTTTACCATATCCAATATTATACACATTGCCCTTCTTAAAGACCTGTTTCTGAAGTGTAAACTGCTTTGAATCATTTACAAATATTGCTTTAATTGTTCCTGAATGTGTGCCATCTTATCTCAGTTTTCAGAGTGTGAACTCCTCATATCCTCTCTGAGTAAGTAAAACAAGTCAGATTCTAAGATTAAAGAAAGTATTGATGCAGGATCACCAAATTCCTGCTTTATTTAGGGTGTCACTGACCACTGTAGTTGTAACTAAAAGCTCTGTTTTTTACCAGTGTTAGAAGCTTAGTAAGTATTCTGTAAACCTTTACCTACTTTACATTGCTTTTTCTTTTCAAATAACAGTATTGAACATTTTCCTGTTACATTTGTCTAGCACTTATCTATGTTCCTGTGAATTCGAAGTAATAAAAGTGGTTATCTAACACTTCTGTGAGATTTATTCAACCATAATAACTCACTGTAATACAGTTCTGCATTAAGTTAGCAACTACTGCCTTTACATCTGGATGAAATTTAACTCATCGCTTTCTTTCAATGTCTAGGATTTAGTACCAATTCCAAATTTCCATGCTAATTTTGTACAAGGATTACTTGCATGTAATACTCTGAAACGTTGTTAACAGTCTTACCATGTAAAATTCCGTTTTTAAGAGGAGGCATAGAATAGCTCACCAAGCTTAATTGTTTTATTGTTAGGTTCAAATTTACTTAGCTTTTTTTATTTCATAGGAGTTAGCAGTTCGGTTCTGTACTAGCTGTAGAGCCTGATATGCCACCGGACTTTGGAAGTGATAATATTCTGTCTTCATAAACTGTTCCTCGCCTCAGAGATCTCCTATTATTTACTTTGTTCTTGTCATAATTTTAGATGACACTTAATTTCTCCTTCTTAAATTCCTGTTTTTTGAAAAGATGAAAAGTCATTTGTTTACTTTGCTTAAATAACACTACTTAGTAGTGCCAATATCTTGTAAAAGTAACATTACCAGTTCTTAAAATTTTTGGCTTGTGCACTGCATTTAGGATTCTTTGCTCGATTACCTAAATTACTTTCATTCTATGATTGTAGTCTTTGAGTAAAGCTTTTAAACCGTATTTTTTTAATTCTGTGTGGATCTATTCTGTGAAGTTGATGTGATCTCTTATTGAGGTTGTTGCAGTTCTTTCCTTTATTCCTCATTGCTGTCAGCTAATTTCAGTTTTTGGGTCCACATGAAAGCAGTATCAATTTTTATGTAGAAAGCTGAATCACCCAGTACCATTTGATATTTCAGTTCTGATTTAGGTTGATGAAACTGGTGCTAATCTTCTATCTTGACATGTTCTTTATCTCTGTTATATTTTTGAAATTCTTAATATTTTGACTAATGCTTTTGTTAGGATTAGGCCCTTACTGCCTGTGTGACACTAAAATCTGTGCCTTTTTTACTGGGGTTGAGAGTCAAAACTAATGGTCCCATTGGTGTCTGTATATGAACAGTCTTGGGAGAGTTCTGATTTTTATTCAGAGCTCAATCTGTCTAGAGCTGGTGGTGAGACAAGTAGCGAGCTGGAGAAAGCAATTACATATTTTTGAGCCTCCTGCAGAGGTATTTCTGTTGCTGTTTAATTGACCTAATAGCAAAGAATTCTCATTCGATTTTCATCAGCTTTTAATCAAATAGCATTAACGGTGAAGAAAGCATTTATGTGTGTCTATCCAGGGATTAGCAGCTGTTTGTTCTTGATTTGGATGCAAATGCAACAATTCGTATTGTGCAGTATGCTCAAGACTACGTCTTTAAAATGGTCAAAAGTTTACTATAAATGAGAACAGGGCAAAGGGCAAGCTTAATCTAAAATACTGAATTAAGATGATTTTCACAGCTCGTAATTTTCTTTCGTTCTCTGAGAAGAAATTATTAGAAGTTGGAAAAGTTTTTGTGTGAAGAGGGAAAAATGGCATTTTTATCGTCAGATATTAGATGATTTTCCTACATAAGCTGATGCTTTGTGAAATGGATAATGGATAATTTGCCACAATATTAATTGGATATTTTTTTATCGAGTCTTATATTTTCAAAGCTTGTTAAAATTGCTTAAGAATAACACAAATTGTGTCCTTAGGAAGCAATTTATATCTGTTTAGCAGATCTTTTAGATAGGACGCCTTGCAATATCAGATTCATTATAAATATTTGTTCAATTGTGGGGTTTATTCAGCCTTTTTTTTTTTTCCCACAGTTTATAACCACTAATCTTTATTTGGGGACAGTCTCTAAAATATCTCTTTTCAAATGATATCTCTTTCTAGCTGATATAGTTATCTGGTAATCTGTATGTTTCTGAAGTTAAATGAAAAATGTGTTTGATTGCATTGACAAATGCAAAAATGAATAATAGCAAAATTAAGGTACTCTGTGTGGATAAATTTATGCTTAGAATATCGAGATTTTCAATTCACATTAGTCCTCTACTGCTAAGCAGGACACAACATCATTTATTAAAGTGTATTCTTCTGTTGCTTCTGACATGACTTTTCATATCTAATTAAGATAAATGGAACTTGGAACAGTTTTAAAGAGTGACTCTCCCTTTCAAGCTCAGTAAGTCACAGTAAATACGTTGTCCTTTAGTCTTCAATCTATCTGGAATCATGTTTGAAGTGCAGTTTGCCAAGATTGTGTTTGTGATGCCTGACTTTTCTGCAAGTGGCCAGATTGCTTGGTAGCAGTTTGAATATATAAAAAGTCACTTTACCGTGTGATATATTATTATATATTTGTCTCGATTTTGGTTAAAGAGAAGTTCATACAGGATGGCAGATTGACATCGGTAGTACCACAGCAATATTTCGGCGCATCTCGCAACAACAATCACAACTATAGTGCTGTTAAAAATACTTCTTAATATTGTATTGGAATAGCCAATTATTTATGTTAGTATGCTTGATAGAAATAAGAAGTAGGTTATTTATGTTATGAGTGTATTTAATGAAACGGCTTTCCTGCAGTCATCAAAGCAGTGAGTCTATTCAGAAGTTACAACTAGTAAAGGATTTCTCAAGCCTTTAATTTCAACTTCGATCTTGATTTAGTGAAAAAACTTAACAATTGGTAGTGCAAGATATAGAGCTAGTATAAAACAATCTTAATTCTGTTAACAAACCAGCACATTAACAAATGGGCAACATCATATCTAAACTAGTGTTGGGAAAAGTATTAACCTGTATAAGACATCTGTCCTAATTTTTGAGATTGCAAGGGTGATTATAGCTGACATTTCAATAACTTTCTGTATAACACATATTTCTATGTTGATACTAGAAAAGGGAAACCTTACATGATATTTTGTACCCTTTTTTATTGTGGGAAGAAAAGGAGGTAGGAAAATGGTCATGACAGAACGGTTGCTCAGATGAGATATTAGAACCTCTAAATTCTTAAAATGGTGAATTCTTGAAACATTGCTCTAAAAGTTCAGATAGTACCATTGTATTACCACTTCTGTAGTTTTGGTTGAGCAAAGATGAAACATGTTCCCATCAAGTAAAACTGTATTTTAGACTAGTAATCAACGAATAGTCTGTCATGATAAAATCCAACAAAATAAAAAAAAGCTCTAGATTTTGATTGCTGCTTGTAACAACAGAAATTTAATTTTAATTGACTGATACCACTTTCAAGTAGCAAACACTACTCCTCTCTCCCAACCCCTTCCTTTTGTTAAGTGTAGATGGGCTCCTAGGAGCAATT